CAATCATGGGAAAACGAAGGGCTGCTTATGCACAGGGAGACAGCTCAGGGCGCAGGAGAGTATGGAGGGATGGTCACTGGGAAGAGGTAACTATGGGGAGAAAGTGGGAGGGGAGCTGTTGCATTGTGGTAAACTGTGGTCAATGACATGAGACAAGGTATATGTGAACTCCTGTACGGAAAGTGAATTTGCTCTGTAAATCTTCACCCAAATAAAAATTAATTAATTAATTAAAAAAAAAAAAAGAAAAGAAAAAATAATTTACCTCAATGAAATGAGTTGTGATACTTCCTCTTCCCACTCTCAGTTTTGAAAGCAGAAAGTTGTAGGTTTCATTTTGTTTTGTTTTTCTCTTAAAAAGCAAGGGGATTCCAATATTGTCCATACTTAACCATTTTAGGTAGCTGATATGATGAAGTGAGCTTCCTACTGAGGGCACTTATCCCTAGTATGGTGCTTTTACCAACTTACTTTATGAATTTGGGCAAGTCATTTATCTCTTTTGCATCTCATTTTTTCCTTTGTAAAATGATTTCCAAGATCCCTTCTAGCCCCCCTAACATTTTAAGTCTGAGAAAACTAACAAATTGTAATGCAAGACTTTTTTTTTTTTTTTTTGAAGAAAGGGTCAGCAGTAAATAAGTAGTTGTCTCTCAGAACTTTGGCCAACAGAATTTTCTCAAGCTACAGAGAAACAAGATTGGGGTCAAAACCACCACAAATGATGAGTGCTTGACATAGTAGGGAGTTGTAGCCAGTTGGAATTATCAAATGAAAAACAAATCTAGACTTTGAGAGGGAGAAGCTTTATTTAGAAGAAAAGTGAGGGAGGAGGACTACAATAGGGTGAACACTCCACACATCTCAAAGAGTTAGGGAAAAACACATTTATTAATCTTTTATAGAGACTGACTTAACAAGGCTAGAGAAAAAACAAGTATAGGGAATTGGGATGAACAGGTAACATCCTTGGTTATCAATAAGAATGTCTTTACACAGAGGTCAGCCTCTTCCCTGGAAGGGGTCCTTAAAAAGGGTAGTATGTTGGCTCAGGCTGGGGTGGGCCTAAGTTCAGGGATTTGAGTGAAGGAGAAAAGCTCAACCAAAGTTTAGTCAATAGTTACTTTATTTCTAATCAATCAGTAGAGAAAGGAGCTCTAATGGCACAGTGCCTAAGGCATTTGACTACTAATGTGAAAGTTGGCAGTTCAAACCCAGCACCCACTCCACAGAAAGAAGCTGAGGCAATCTACTTCGGTAAAGATTGACTACGTTGGAAACCCAGTGGGGGTTGCTGAGTTGAAATCAAGTTTATGGTAGTGGGTTTGGCTTTTTGTTTGTTTGAAATCAATAGAGCGGGAGCTCTGGTAGCATAGTGCCTAAGGCACTTGACTGCTAACCAGAAGGCTGGCGGTTCAAATCCACCATCCACTCCTCGGAAGGAAAATTGGGCAATCTACTTCTGCAGTGATACTGCCTTGGAAACCCAAGGAGGGGTCGCTATGAGTCAGGGCTGACTCGATGGCACACAACAACAGCAACAACAACAACAACAACTTCCGTAGTGATACCGCCTCGGAAACCCAAGGAGGGGTCGCTATGAGTCAGGGCTGACTCGATGGCACACAACAACAGCAACAACAACAACAACAACTTCCGTAGTGATACCGC